AAAGAGCACACACACACACACACACATACACACACACACACACTGGGATGCTAAAGAGCACACACACACATTGGAATGTCGAAGAGCTCACTCTCTCTCTCTCTCACACACACACACTCACACACACACACACACACACACACTGGGATGCTGAAGAGCTCACTCTCTCACACACATCAGGACGAACTCTCAGGCAGTCTGGTGTCATGGTCTCTGTCAGCAGCTGGACACCAGAGGCCTTTCTTTACAAATGGTGGCTGACGTGGACAATGAGCACCGTCTGAGGATGATGAACAAGAGGCACAGAGAGGCCACTGAGGGAGAGCCTCTTGGGATTGTGTGGGGAGGACCACTCCACTATAAGGTGGTCTGATGCTTTTCCTCCCAGGAGGACCCCGCTCTTTTCCCTCCCTGTATTTTTCTCACCACCCCCACCCCTCTTCCCAGGAGATCAGATGCACAGCTTTGCACACTCAGGCAAGTCCTCTGTCACTGAGCTGCATCCCCAGCTCCGTATTCATAATGAATAAAGTCCCACAGTGCTGGAGGCGTCTGGTGTATTGAGGAAGTCTTCTTTTATCAGAGTTGGGATAGCTGAGGTGGTGAAGGGTGGGTGAGATTGAGAAGACCAGCTGCATGGGCGACGGGAGGATTCCTAAGCTTCCGCTTCTGGGGTGTGCCACTCCTGGGCGGTGGTTGGGGTCTTGGCTGGGAAAAGTTCATCCACCTGAGGAGGGCTGACAGCCAGGTCAGTGCTGCCCTCCAAGTGCTCATGGTCCTCAGAACTTGGTTTGCTATGGATTTGCGAAGGGTGTGCATCACACAATAAATCAAATGAGCTCTCAAAGACCAAGCTTTAGCTCACCAAATGGGGACACTTGCAGCCCTACAGTCAGGCTGTATTTACATTTTTTATTCAAACAAAACCTCCAGGAGATAACAGTGTGAAGATGCCCACTTCAGCACCGTGGCACCCCTCAGGTTTTACCCTACTGTCCTTCAGACCTCTCTTCCCATGGGATTGTGGGTGTCTTAAAGGCTGCAGTGAGGGAACATACAAATATTTTTCCGTGTTAAGGGAGAGATCCTGGGGGCAAACCACAGACAATGCCTGAAGAATGAAGATGTTGGTAATTAGATTTCCCTGTAGCAGCTTCCTTAGGCATGCCCTTCACTGAAGTGACAATTCCCCTACAGCTTCTGAGAGA